GGGCCCCAGGTAGGAAGCTCGGGCTTGGTCCCCGGGATCTCTGGCTCCATGATGGCGCCTTGGATTCGGCTCTTCGTTGCGGCGACGGCCGACTCGGCCTGGGGGGGGTGGGGGGTAGGGGGGCGGCTGCGGGATGCGGCCTTGCGAACCCCGCGCCCCATTTTCTTCGTCTTCGGAGGCCGGGAAGAGATGGGCCGCGCCTGAAGCGGGGCTTTGACTCACTCATTCATTCATTCCGCTAGAGCCCCGGAGCGGCCCCGGCTCGGGGCGCGATAACGGCATCCAGGCGCCGTCGGGCCTTTTGCATCTGGTTCGGTCCCCGCGGCAAGTCCTCACTATTGAGCTGTGCATTGCATAGATGGGGAGATCGAGGCACAGAAAGGTTAGATCGCTTGAATTGAACCCCGGCCGCCCGATCCCCAAAACCCCTCCCCTTGGCCAGCAGAGAACAAGGGGGGTACCTCGGGAATAGAGCTGAAGGATGGGAAAAGGGGTGATGCTTATTAGGAGGGGACTATCCATCAGGGGCAGGTGTGCGTCTGGAAGTCGGGGATCTCAGGAGGCAGATGTCGCGGGGGTTAAGGGTAGTCATCATTGGAGGCCTAAATGTTGCTTTTTAATCTTTTTTTCTGCGCTCATTCTTCAAGACTTCGATGCCCATTGCCAGTGTCCTGTTTGCCAGGGCCAAGGCCAGGCTGTCTGACCTTGGGTGTGTCACCGAGCCTGTGCATCCCTTTTATTCTTCTGTGTAGTGTCACTCATGACAGAACCTACCCCCTCCGCACCTGGGTGGTTGGAAAAACGAACAAGATTGTGCAAAGACTGGGCCAGAGCGAGCGATGTCCTTGCGATTTGCTGGTCACCAGGCTTCTCGGAGGGGAAGGGTGTTCTCAATCAAGCCTCTTTGTTCTCATCTGTGAATGGGAGAATGAGCCCATCTTGCCTAAGCACGGTTTGCAAGGTCTGGGCTCACAATCTCTGTCTTGCTACACTGTTACATTCAGTAACTGGTGTGTTGGTTTGAGCAGTCCTCCAGCCCGGCAGCGGGATAGAACTGGGTTTTGTTTTTAGTTTTTGCTACAGGGCACAGGTGCAGGCCAGAGACAGAGATTTTAGAGAACAGGAAAGTGAGAAATCGCTGCCCTCCGGGGGAGATGGGCACACTGCAGTCCCTTCTCCTCCATTGTCCTCTCCAGCTTTTGGGCACGCACGCACATGCGCCTGGCGTGAGTTTCAAGCCTCCCAAGTCCTCGAACCTCAGTGTGGGATCCAAGCGCCTTAACCTCAGGGTGGCCCGTTAGGACTGTTTTAGAGCTGCTTTTTTGTCTCTTTTTATTTTCCCGAGGGTCCATGCCAGAGAGAAAGCACCCTTGGTGGGGCATGATCACACCCTAGTCCCTAATCCTTCATTTCTCTTTTTGGGATTTTGGGTGTGCATTCATTTGTGCCTGCTGTCTTTCTTCAGGTTGCTGGGGCTCTTTTTTTTTGGAGAGGTTTTTGCTATAGGGTGTGTGCGCTCATCAGACAGAGAGAGACAGAGAGACAGAAAGTGAGAAATCACTCTCCAGGGGGGATGGCCACACCACAATCCCTTCTCCTCCATTCTCCTCTTGGGATCTTGGGCATAAGCCGCCAGGTCCGGGATGCGAATCGCGGTCGACTACGTGGGAATCCAGCAACATAGCCATTATGCTAACTGCTGGTCCCAGGTTTCCGGGACTCTTTAAGTGCACAGCTGGTTATGTGGGACCCAGCTCTCATAACCACCATGCCATGGGCTAGCCTCACAAAGCCTATAAACTTTTTTTTTAAGAGAGAGATTTTTGGTGTAGGATACACGCACTCACCAGAGAGACATACAGAGACAGAAAGCGAGAAATCCCTGATGTGAGGGAGGGGTGGCCGTGCTGCAATCCCTTCTCCATTCTCTAGATTTTGGGTACATACACACATGCCTCGTGTGAGGATTTTTGTTCGTTTGCTTTTTTAAGAATTTTTTTATTGGGGCCAGCAGGTGGCATGGTGGTTAAGGCGCTGGACTCCCATGTGGTTGACTGAGGTTCAAGTCCTACACCTGTCAGCTTCCTTTCCCTTTCTTGCTCGCTCTCTCTGTCTCTCTCTGGTCAAATTGGAGAATGACAATAAATAAATTAATTAATTAAAATAAAAGAAAATGGGGATCAGCAGTTGACATAATGGCTATGTCATCGGACTCCCATGTAGTTGACCGCAGTTCAAGTCCCCACCCGGTGGCTTAAAACTCACACCAGGCGCGTGTGCGTGCGTGCCCAAGATCCTGAGAGGAGAATGGAGGAGGGATTGCGGCGTGACCATCCCCCCTGGGGGGTGATTCCTCACTTTCTGTCTGTCTGTCTCTTTCTGGCGAGCGCATGCGCCCTATAGCAAAAATTTCTCCAAAAAAAGAAAATAGTTTTGCCATCTTTTAAAAAATTACTTTGTTTAGCTTTATTTATTATTATATTTGAGTTTTATCAGAGAAAGACAGAGATAGGGGGAAAGTGAGAATGCAAGCCACCAGTTCCAGGACTTGAACTGCAGTCAGCCATGTGGCAATCCAGCACCTTTAAACACCACACCACCTGCTTGACCCCCCCATCGCATGAATTTTTTTAAAAATTTATTTATTTATTTATTTTTAATTTGACCGGAGAAGAAGAGAGAGAGAGAGAGAGTTCGAAAGCAAGCTGCCAGATCTGGGATTCGAACCATGGTTGGCCATGTGGGAGTCCAGCACCCCTAACGACCTGCCGCCCTCCCTCCCATCGTCCCCCCAGCATGAATTTTAAACCGCCAGGTTCAGGACTCAAATTGTGGTCGACCATGTGGGAGTCCAGCAACGTAATCATTACAGTATTCTGCAGGACCCCACAAAGCCTTTTATAACAGAGCCTCAAGAAATGGGCTTGGAGAAGGCCTGTCCTGTACCTTCTCAGGCAGTTCACACCTGAGAGCTTGGTGGGGGGCAGAGACCTCCCCGACACGAACGTGGCCCGCCTCCCGTTTCCTGCCTGGGTGACATATTGCTGCCTCGTGACTTGGAGGATTCGGTGAACCAAGGCAGGCTCGGAGTGCGAGTTGTCCTTAGCGTGCTTGTGCGTGTGTACGTGTGTGCGTGTGTACGTTTCTCTCTCACTGCAGGCCACAGAAACATGGCAACAAGGCGAATCACACAGGAGACCTTTGATGCCGTGTTACAAGAAAAAGCAAAGCGCTATCACATGGACCCCAGTAGTGAGGCTGTAGGTGAAACTCTTCAGTTTAAAGCTCAAGGTAAATCCAAGTGTTTCGTCCTTTCTCGGGGGGCAGCTGAGGTCCAGCTAGGGGCTGGGCAGGAGAAGTTCAATTCCTTGGGAAAACTGCACAACTCTTTTTTTTTTTTTTTTTTCTTTTGGAAATTTTTGCTCTAGGGCATGTGTGCTCGCTAGAGAGACAGAGAAAGTGAGAAATCACCCTCCCAGGGTGGGTGGCCACGTCGCAGTCCCTTCTTTATTCTCTATCGTCTCGGGATTTGGGGCCCGGACGCACATATTCCTGGCATGCTTTTCAAGCCACCGGGTCCAGGACTCAAACCCTCAAACCAGTGGTTGACTGTGTGAGATCCAGCTTCCTTAACTTCTACACCACTTTTTTTTTTTTTTTTTTTGAGGGTTTTTTTTTAAAAGGGTGTGTGTCCCGGCCCTGACGGGCAGCAGGGGGCGATAGAAACAAGCTGGCCATCAGGCCACCTCCCACATCTCCCTGTCTGCCAAGAGAGGGCGTG